TTACCTAGTTGTCAGTTCACGACTGCAGAATTTCCTCACCAAAACTAAGTCCCAGTGAGTCTGGAGAAACATGGCAACTCTGATTTATTTTTAGGGATTTTTTTCCCCTGCTGGCTAGCTATATTATTGCTTTGGAGTTTTTCTCCTCAGTAATCTGGATCAATAGTTTTATTAGTGTGGAGGAGGCAGTTCATATCACCTTTGGGTTAAAAGTGGCTCTTTCCCTAGTTTATTTTGCTTAGGCACATAAAAATCCATTTTGTATAATAATAGCAAAAAAAAAAATCACAGGCATTTGTGGGAAGCTAAGAAGTAAGTAAAGAGTATAGAACATTAAACTAGCAGGATATAGCAGACAAGGACACTGAATGTGATTTTCTTTTGTTACATGGGTACAACTGTTCGTGACAGAAGGATCATCCTTTCCACGTGTCCTTTCTGGTACTGCTCTCTGGACACTGCACTTGCTTTTCCTGTACTCATCAAACTCCTCCATTGTGCTGTCTGCTCTGCCCAGTCATCACTCTGACAAAATGAATTTCTCATACTTAAACTTTTCAATAAGATAAGTTACTGGGGCAGATGCAGTGAAAATTTAAAGACTATAACATTGATGAAGGGCTCTGTATTTCTTTACTTTCCTTCAGTCATGATTTCCATTGGAATTTTAATCTTTTTATCAGGCAGTGAATCTAAGAAAAGTTACACTGAATGCCTTTGATGCTTAGGATATGCATTTGTTCTATAGTAAGGTAGTTATGTTGCCCAGTCTGCTTTCAGGAGCCTGACTCAATCCCAGCTGTTGGATAACCCTGCCACATTGTTTATTTTCTGTATTAGTGGCAGTGAGTCCAGTATTGATTGATTGGCTTTTCCAAGCAGCCCAGGCTCCATCCTGCCGTTTGTACCTGCATAGTTCAGGCATGGTTAAGTATTTTCTCTTTTTTTTATGGTCTCTGCTTGCTTTCCTGTTTCTTGTAAGTGTTCAGAGGAAAGGAAAGCCTGATGATGCTCCCCTTCCCAGGTGTGTGGGTTTGGCTCAGTTGCTGCTGAGTGCCTGTGAGAAGGAAAGGTTGGATCACTGCTGGCTGTCCCTTTGCAGACAGACTGTCCCGGGCACTACAGGCCACTCTGATTCTTGCTCTGGAGTTCTAAGTGTGGGACAGCCTGGCAGGCTGGTGCTGCTGGCACACGTAGCAGGAGAGTGTCTTACTCTGTGGCTAAAGAAAGCTCCATGGCACTGCTGCTCCTTGGAGTATAACAAATGGTTCAGAGAGGCTGAGCCCTCTGGAGATGCTCCCATTCCACTGCTGCATAACTGGAATACACTGCCAGCCCTCTTATTTAATGGTATATTTGGATCCACTGCCCTTCTAAGTTGCTTCATCGATGCTCAGGTGCCCTAAGCTGCCATATTATGTTTTCTTAATTTGTTGAACCCTAATCTCTATGGATTTTAACTCGTGTTTCAGAATGATGTCAAGGAAGATTATTATCAAGATGCCATAAACATCTAGAAATTTTTGTTCCCTCACACCTTCATTTTTCAATTTAAGGCCATTTTTTTCCATTATGCTTTCCTTTTCACCTTTCTTTCTGTTGGTCTTTCATTTACTGATAATCAGACCTTATTTTAAATTACATAGTCTTCAAAATAAAATATTTATGCCTATTGGGGTGAGGGCAGCAAACATCTGATGAGGGTTTACAGCTCAATAAGCCTGGACATTGTACTGGCCAAATCGTCAGAACTCAAATCCGGATAAATATTTTAAACCTGCTCAGTTTCTTGGCTATTTGGATCTAGTGGTTTTGTATTTTTCCCTTCCAAAAATGGGGGCTTGCTTCAGACTTGCAACCTCAAGATGTCTGGGGTTTTTTTAGAGGAGTTCTGCTCTAACGTTTGGCTCAACTGCACCTATTGCACATTCCTTGGCAGCCTGTAATTACACTGACTGCTTAAATGCTGAGTAGCTTTCTTCTGTTTACTGCTCATATGGATTAAATGTGCAAGATTTCAATAGAAGAATATAAATGAAGTGACTGCCTAGCTCTGGATTTTCTCCATCTTCCCTTGATGCACGAACGAGAATCAATTGCAGTTGCTTATTATTTTTAAATAGCAGTTAATTTGAGAAAATCTGATTCACTAGCTCTTTTCATTTTGCTGATTTGATTTCAGCCTTCTGCCCATCTGGGCCAACCTACGTGTACTGTTCAAAATCCAGTGCCTAAAATCACTGGTGCACATAACCAAAGGCAGACACTCAGCCTAAATAACCCAGGAAAGCACTGTCTGCAGCAGAGCACTCTAACTCTGTTTTCTTATTGCTAAAATCCTCAATGAGAGAAGGGGCTTTACTTTGCAATTAATTCTCTGTTGTGCCTGAAAGAGAATCAGAGTGATTATAGAAAAACAACTCCTCCTTATCCATTCAGTTCTCTGCATGCTCAGATGTGGTGATAGGGTGATCGTATCTCAGAGTTGCATAGTCACAGAAATGGTTTCCTGAGCAGATGAGTTTATTCTGCCTGGGGATGCTCTGGTGCAACCCCATGCTCACCATAGGAACTGTAGAATTAATCTCTGTGAAATCATGTGGACTTCTAGAAATGGCTTTCTGGTCAAACTGCTGCATCTGTGCAAATCCCCGGGACAGCAATAAAGAATCCTGAAGAAGGATTGTAGGCTAAGCTGTAAGCTCTTTAGGTTAGGGCTAATATCCTCCTGTAATTATTTAAAAATGCTTTTTAGATTTATAGTCTCATGACAATGTCTGGGGTGAAAAAAAGACTATTCAGGAGCTGCTAGAATATACAGGGTCTGTATTTAGACAGATGCAGCAGTGGGTGTCACTGGTTCCTACAGAGGATGTGTGTTGTTATCTGAAGTGAGGAAGAAAAAGATGTATTCTTTTCTCTGAATAAAGGGCTAGGTGAGGGTTTCTAGTTCCTAATGGTCTCCCCACATTTAAATCCATGGTGATTTCTGTTCACAATTTGTTAAATGCTTTTCCTTTCATGGCAAAAAAAGATGGGCAAATACACTGTAAATACAGGGTGGTTGTATGTGATGAAACATTGCTGTTTTTCATTATATACACACAGGGAAGTTGAAATGTTATTTGTAGAGGATAAAGGTGAACTTTGCTCATGATTTTATGAACTTCTTTATTGCACAGTCCTCTTTGTGCAAACAGCACTTGACACTCTCTTACCTTTTGCTATTTCCAGCAGATTGGAGCCATTTGTTTTGTAATGTTGATCTGTGACAGAGCAGCAGGTGTCGGATAAAAGGAACCAAGATCACTTTTGGGTTTTGTGATCAAATATTTAGGGGGATTTGAGAAGCACTGTAAAATTCAATTAATTTTGCTTCCTATGTCCTTTTCTCCTAGGCAACTGATTTGCAATTCTGGAATAATTTGTCATGATTTTTCCAAAAGTGGAGGTGCTATCTGGTCTGGGCTAAGCCTTTTAGCCCAGCTGGTGTTGCTGGGCTTGGTGTTCACTTTGCAAACTGCCATGCTGGCTGAAGATGTCAGCCTGAAACAGCTGCTTGCTACTAATTCACTGTTCAAAGTTCCTGCCCCTCTCAGCAGAGAGAATAGATGGACTGCTGTTTGCTTCAAAGTTAGATTGAAAATTAGGCTTAACTCTGTGGTTCTGAAATGAGAGAACAAGGATTCAAGTAAATCCACTGCCAGTGAGAGAGGGAAGTAGGGAAAACCTCTGATGGCCACGGAAGAAAAATAGCTTAGGTCAGGAGCATCTGCAGCTGCACAGCCAGATCTGCAAGTGGCCATCTGTCTGCAGCCCAAGTCAGCCTCTGGGCTTGCCCAAGGAATTATCAACCCTGCAGAAATAAATAACGTTCCATGAAGAGCTATTAAGGTATTGAAAAAGTAGAAAATATCTCCAATTAATCAATGCAATGTCATCAGCCACATTCAAGCATCTGTATATTTCTGTATTAATTCATTGCCTGCAGGCCTGTGGCAAGTTCAGCATTGCTGTGAGTGTCTGCCCCTCACCAGTTTTGCGTTCTCACCTGTGTCTGTGACCACTTTGTTCCATCATTGCCCATTCAGGAGGGTCTGTCAGGACTGGACACCTATTGAATAGTGTCAGACTCTGAATTGTTGAGTCCTTTCTCTCTGCACTACTTGAAAAGAGCCTGATCTTCTCAAAACTCAGACTGTGGTTGGGATAAAGGTCAGTGACTTGGTAGAGTTTGCTTGAAATGTCAAGAAGTATGATAAATTCTCCACAAACTAATAGGTTAATCTAATATGATCACTGAGAAAGAAATAATTCTGTTTTCAAATGTTTCCACAAACTCAGTATTGTTATGAACACAGAGACTGAATTTCTGATGCCTGGCGAAGTGCATTTCCATGGGGTCTGGAGCTGTGTACACATATTCAGGTAATTCAGTCCACTCTCACTAATGCAGGATGCTATAAATCACAGCAAAAGTTCCATAAATATGCAACTAAAAATCAGGAGTGATTGTGAACAGAGTCAGCAAAAAGGCAGTTTTAGTAAAATGATCAGCAGCAGTCAGGAAGAGGCTCAGGTGTGTAGTCAGTTTTCCCTGATTTCTGGATATAAGTATGTTAATGTATTTTGCTAATCTAATGGAAAGTCTATAGAAGTTGCCATTCATTTTTTAACTTGAGCACCATCTAGTGATAAAAAGAATTTTAAAAGTAAATTTAAGGCCAGATCATTATGGCACTTAGGAGTGGAAGTGCTGGCATATTTTCAATGTCAAGGGGAAGAAAAGCACATCAGAGCTTACATCCTGCTAACTTTCAGTAAATCAAGCTTCAAGTGACATTCTTGGGAGCCCACTCTGCCTTTTAATTTGTGCTTCACTTAATCACTTGCTTGCACTTAAAATAAATGGAAAAAATGAACACGCAAAAATAAGTTTGTTTATTTATTGGCAAGCAGGTTAAAAATAAAAAGACCCAGAAAACAACTGTTTTTTTTCTAAATACAAACACACATTTGTATATTCATGCAAATATAAATGCAGGGTCCTGCATGCTGCTGAAAGCTGATACTGCCTGCTCCACCAAACCCCTGGCTTCCAGCTAAATAGATCTTGGCAGATATTCTCTAGATCTGTCAGGCTTTGAATACAGTCAGAGATGAGTCTTTCCTGCCTGCCTGGATCAGAGTGAGTGCATTTATGAAAAGTTTAGTGTGCTTCAGTCTCTCCTGTTAGCATTGCTTGGTACAGCCAAGGTGTGCTTTGTGCCCATGGTGAGTTTTGGGAGCAGCCCAGCTGCCTTTGCCATTGCTAAGGAAATTAATTCTGCTCTTTGCAATACATTTGGTTTGCACCTATAGTGGGAGGTGCCTCTGACAGCAACTTCTGCTCTTGCTCTAATCACCTCACATTCCCCCATATAACAAGATTAGGAGCTGCTGCTGGAGGAGCATTACTCACTCATCAGTCATTGCTCCATCACCAGGCACAGCCCTGCCCTTGCTGCAGCAGTTCCTGAGATAAGGGAAAGAACTCTGGCTCCCATGAGTTCTTCTGGCTTCTGACTAGTATTAAAATCAGAGGAGACCAAAACCTACTGTTAGACTTTGCTTTAAAAAGCTTATGATTTGTGCATCAAGTGAAATATTTTTTGAGAAGTGCGAGGCAAAAGGAGGGGATGTTACCAAGATTTTTAAAACTTTGAGCATCTACTTGAGCATCTACTGATTTTTTTTGCTGCCATTATTTTGTGAAAATAAAAGGCTTTTTAGGCATACAAGCTAGTGTTGTTTTAATCCCAGAAATGAAAGCCAAAACTGGTGGAACTGTACCCGGAGAATCAAGTTTTCTTGTTAAGACTAAGACAAGGAAAAAAACTAATTTGGAGCATATCTCTTTCTCAGTTGAAACAAGTCTCTGGGAATAGACATCCCTGGCCAGCTGTACTCTGGCAAATTTAGAGCTCCTTGCTCCTATAACGTTTCTATGAGACCTGTCTCTAAACTGAAATAATTCAGATCAATAGCTTCAATTTTTAAAGCTTAATAGCTGTATCTGGATGAAGCTTTTCAACTTGACCTCTCATTTGCTGACTTGCGACCCAGACACAGGGTCTCTAGTGCAGCACAGACTGCAAATTTTCACCAAAGGCACACATCAAATGAATTCTCAGAATAAATGGTTCATAAAATAAGTGATAACAGCTGCATTGTGGTGAGTCACCCCACTGCACACTGGGGTTGAACTGCTTGTCACCTTGTGTGTGAGAGAGTTGTGAGCCCTACAATGTGGGGAACACATTAGTAAACTCTGGTTTTGGGGGGATCTTCTGGTGGGATTACCTTCTCCACCCAGAACAATTTTTCTTTGAATTATTCTAAGACACTGAAGTGTTGGGCAACTCTTAAGGCAGAGGGAGTTTTCCCTTTCTGGCCATTTGTTGCATTCCTAGAGTGAAATGCCAAATGGAAAATAAAGTGAGATAAGAAGAAAGGAGTGCCTCAGTATATGTTCAAGAGATATGGCAGAAAATTGAGAATTCCAAACATTCATGAAAATAATGATAAAAAAATTTTAAAGTTAGGTTCCCCTACTGTCATTAGTATTTGCTGTTGGGTAGTTTTATGATGTCTATTTCTGCTTGGATTGTAATATCAATACCGTTGAATGATTCATAATAGACTAATTCAGTTTTTCTTTTGGAAAGGGAAATCTTGCCACAAACCAGATGTTGTGTCTGATATGAATTTTTAAATTGATTACAAAAGCACACACAAATGTGTACTTTGTCAGGCTCTTGAGAAGGGACAGGAACTGCTTATTTTCTCATAAGAGGGACTGTGTTGAAGAGAGCAGCAATAAATTGATTAATAAAGACCATGAAATTATTCAACCTTCCTCTCCCCTCCTGCCCCCCAACAAATCAAAGGACTTGCAGTCTTCTCTATCACTAAGGCATGATTCCCATTCCAATCTTATCAAAGTTCAGGTGGAGTTGTTGCTCTGGTATGCAGCATGGGAAGTACCACCAAGCTAAGAATGAAGTATGTGGTTCTAGCACTACTGGAATTGGTTTGCTCACCTGAACCACACAACACAGAGAATTTGGTGGTGGTGTTTCTTAGAACCACTCTGCTTCAGTGTTTCTCCATTTCTTTGTGTAATTTCTGGAAAGTTTAGTTCAGGTGTTTTAATGCTTCTTGCAGAGCCAGCTGTCAAAGCTTTAAGCATGGAAAAGAGCTGCTTCCAACTAGTGCTTTGCTGTCCATGCAGGATTTCAGTATCTCACAGAGGATTTGACTTTGTTATTTAAACATGGTTCAAGAGGCTTGCCATTCTGCCTTTTTATCAAAATAGTAATTTTGGATAGGATTGTTGAATGGAGTATTTGCAGGCAGAGATAGCTATTCTTTTTTTCTTAAATAATATGGTTTAAAAGCACTTTGATTTGGCTTAAGTCCTTTCTTCTTCAACAGTAGTTTTATAATACTTGAAGGCTGACAAGTTTACTACAAACATGCTTTGAGCCCTATTCCCTCCTTGAGTTGCTTTGAAAAAATGGAATCAAATGGATGGGTGAAGCAGCTTGGGCAGTCATGTCTCAGGGGATGAGAAAGGGGCACCTGAGGAGCCAGCATGAGCTGCAGCCTGAGGCCAGCTGGAGTTACATCACAGAGCTCACAGTCTGAAAGGGGCTGTTTGTCACAGTCTCAGTGTTGAAGAACTAACTGTTCACATTTTAAAACATGAATGAAGAGGAGAGCTGCTGGTCTGATGCCAGTGAAGTCTGAACATCAGCACGCCAAGTTCCTACCAGAACAACTGGAATGCCTTTGGAACAGGTGTCCTGAGAGGTACAGTATAATTTTCTCAAAATGTAGCTGTTTTCCTGTCATTTCATTCTGGGGGAAAAGCAACAACTGGTCCTGTCCGGTTTTCGGCTGTTTGGAGGGCCTGGAAAGGCCCGAGGTGGCCTTGGGGCAGCCCGCGTATCAAAGGACGAGAAGAGGCTTCAGTTCTTCTTTCGGTCTCTATGTTTATTAATTGTTTATCTAAAAGATTTTCTTTCGGCCCGACAGAGGTCTGCTCAGCAGCCAGCCATGAGCACACTGTCTCGCCCTCCGGGCAGTCACCTATCTTTATACCCAAAGTTACGTGTACAATATTTATCATTTTTCCCCAATACCTTTTACCCTTATTGCCCGGTGCACTTTTAGTAATGACCAATCCCAAAGTGCCACCATCACCACAGAAGATGGAGGAGAAGAAGAAGAAGAAGAAGAAGGACAGGACACACCCCAATTCCTCCATCTTACTTCTCTAAACCCCCCTGTACAGAAATCCTAAACCCTGTGTCTCACCCTCTAATTAACTAATCCCTTCACCATTCACCCTGGTGAAATCCTCCTATCCTCATACAGGTGTCGTCTCCTGTGTAGGGTCAAAGTCCAGCCACCAGACACTTCTGGCAACATTCCAGGACTCCCGAGCCCCCCAAGGGTGGTCTCGGTGACTCAGCACCTCCGTCCTGAGGTGCTGAGATCCCACATGGTCCCATTCCCTGAGCCAGTCACCTGTCCGTGTGCTAGTGGAAGAGCACTTGTGAAGGCAATGAGTAGGATGAGCTCAGTGAGTTCCCATCTTACCAGATGTTCATTATTGTTTGACATCTCGCGAAAGAGGATGGAATGTCTGACTGAACAAGTGGATTATCTGCATTTTTGGGTGGTGTTTTGTTTTATTTATTTTGTTTGCAAAGCCAGGGATCTCAAATCTTCAACTGTTTCTTTTTGTTCATAAGTGAATACCTTTTTTCTGAGTCTGAAGGCCACACACCTGCATGCTCCCATTTCCTCACCTTATAAATAACTCCTGTAAACAGCTCCCAGGAATACTTAAAATCTTGTTGATCTTATAAAAATGAAACAGCCAGTTTCAGGAGAATTTCTTAGTTTAACAGAGAGGGTTTATAAAATGATTCTGAACAGGGAAATTAGTACCAAATGAGAAGTAGACTAATATTTGGTTGTGGTTATGTTGAAGAGCATCCTTTATGGAAAATTTTAACTGCTATTTTTATCCATAGAGATCTATTGTATATTGTGCTATCAGGAGCAACTGGATTAGATTTTGTTAATCATATTCCTCATTGGGTCTGGACATCATTGTGATCTATACATTTTTTAGTCTGTATCTGTTATTTCTGTGGGTAATGGCCTTATGTATCAGTAAGATAACAGAAAATAGAAATAGACAGCCAAACATCTTTAAATACATGTTTTTCTCATTTTTCTGTTTAGAGGCTTTGCCATCAGCTATTCTGTAACTCAGTGGAATTGTGCCTTATAGCAACTTCCCTGCCAGCAAGCTTATCAGGACATTTCAGACTAGAGCAGCCTTATCTAAAGATCTTTGGTGCATGCTTTAAGATCCTTCTCCATTATCAGGCACAACTGTAGCCTGGGATGACCTAAGTAGTTTGTTTCAGAGAGCATATTTACTGTCTGAATACTTCTGCTGAACTACCACAGTTTAAAAGCCAGCATATGAAAGTAATTTGACTGTAGTGCCCATTCTGCTAAATATTTTGGACTCAAAGCCATGATTCAGTATCTGCTGCATCAACAGTTGAGTTGTTCCTGCAGCAGAAGCCACTGTGATGCAGTGACTGTTTTGCTTGAATTTTGCATTGCTTCAGTTGGCAGCAGGGGAGCTAGAAATTGTCCTTATGCCAGGACACATTTTCCTCATGTGATCTTTTATCTATTAATTCAATAGAACCCTTAAAATAGTGTGCCTCAGGCATTAAGGGTGGTTTCTGGTCTGGATGTGACAAAAACAGAAGAGAGTTGCTGGAGATAATCACCTGAAAGATGTGCAAGAGCACTCCCACACAGTCACCTGCTTTGGTCTGCTTCTCTTTGGAGTTCAGAGGGTCATTTATTCATGGGTAAACTCTCCCCCAGACTGTTTCCTGCCTACACAGCTCCTAACCTTTGATCAAGGCCAAACTCCCAGAGATTTCAGTGGGGAACAGGAGCATGTGTTTCCTCATATCTATAAGGCACTTGTCAATGACTAGTAGATGGAAAGGACTCACCTGGTGTGACTCTTGGGGATGATGCTGTGCAGGGACAGGAGATGGGTTTCATGATCCTGTGGAGCCCTTCCAACTCAATATATTCTTTGATTTTGTGACTCACTCTGGGCTATTACTTGGGAATGGGGCTTCCCTAGAATCCACAGTAATGTAGCCATACTTGTGATATTCTACTAAGAATACATCTCCTTAAAAGAATATTTTTATAAACAAAATTTAAAAAATGAGGCAGGACTAAATGGCTACCATGTTTCAGTAGATAATGTCCTGGTCCAATTTTAAGTGATCCAAGCCTTAGGTCTTTTGTCATGGGCTAGGTACAATCAATCTGGGTTTTGCTGCTTAATGCTTTGCAGTCTCTGCAGATTTGTCACCACTGAGCTCTGACTCAATTTTCCACCACCAGACTTGTCTATCATGTCAGATCCACAGCTGACTCTCAGTAGCTGTAAATCAATACATCTTTTTTTGATTTCAGTGTTGTTTCTTATTCATCAGCTGATGATCAGACCAAGGATTCATTAAGAGACTTTCCCATCTTGGTTGTGATCAGTATTTCTAGTTAATTATAGTGATGGCAATTTTTCTCCTGGGTTTAACTTTTCTCAGGGTTTATTTGCTTTATTAGAGCTGTATTTTATTACACTCCTATTCTAGCAAGTTACCTTGAAGTAGCTTATTGAATTAAGACAAAGTACATTTTTAACTGATTTTAAAAAAAGAAGTGGAGTCTCCAATATCTAAGTGTTCTGCCCTCAGAATTATTACCTGTAAGTAGGTGACTCCTTTCTGAGTTTTGATTTTACTCATCCATCATTTCCAGACCATAGCAGACATGAGGTTGTTTACCTTTGTGTCTTAGGTTTATATATATTTATTTTATAATTCATTAAATTTCATGTTTAAATGAACATTTTTCAATGACGTCTCAGTAGCAAAAAAAGACATTAAGGTGAGTATAAAAAGTTGGATAATTATGCTCAACACTGTGTACTTCATTTGTCACTGCCATTGAATTTGCTGCAAGTGAGTTGGATTGCTATTTTAAAATTAAATTTGGAGTTTATTTAATTATTTTTAGAAAATAATACAACAAAAATCTTAGAAGAAAGAAACAAAGATGTTAATAGGCTATGTACAACCCACATCAGAAAAAAAAAATTAAAAACTCTTTCATTGTCAATACCTGAGGTAGTACAGAAATTAATTAATTAGTAGGCACTCTGGAGATCACCTTCAGCAAGAAACTGTCCTTGTTTTAGATCTGTAGGGACTGTGTAACTTCAAGGGTGCAACACATGGTGATTGTCAAGCTGCCTGGCATCTCCTTCTCCGATTCCTTCACCTTGCAAGGGAGAATTGGAAGGAAAGAGGAGGGATTAGGCTAAGCTCTCCTGGAGGTATTCAGCCATTTTCCCTGTTGTGTGCAACCAACCCAAACTATTTCTTGATTTCAGAAGAGTTCTGTGTCACAAATATGAAAGAATCAACTTCCAAAACCAAACCCAGTTACAGGGAGAAAAGAAAGGAAAATGGCAAAAATCTTGTTTTAAAATTCAAACTAAAAAATGTTTTTAATGAGAGTAACTTGCACCAAACACTAAGATTCTGTTTAGATATTTTTATGTCACAAATTATTTTTTTTCAGGAGATTAGAAGCTTGATCTCAAGAAGTTCCTTAGAAGCATACTTGTCACACACAATATGTAGAATCTCATAATCTCTGATTGCTATTTGCCTCAAAACATAAAAACAGACAAAAACTAAGAGAGAAAAACATTAAATTAAATGTTAAATTAATTAATCGCATCAAATTTTCTACATTTCCTAGTTTTTAATCCAGTGATTTTGTCTTGTCATAAACAGTCTGTGAAGATGCTGCACATCTCAAAGTGGATGGAAGTACCTAATTTCATATGTTTAGATTCTTTTACTAGAATCTTTAATCCACTCTCCATCTTTAGATATAAAAGGAACATAATTAAGTTGGTTGATTAAAACTGCAAGGTCCTTGAGGCAATTTTTTTTTGCAAAAATTGCTTTTTAAAGCCTCCTTTAAAGACACATGGTAGTATTAAATGCATACAACAACAATCCACACATTTTTTGCAGAATTTTTATTAAGTAACAATTATGTTAATATCTTTGTACTAGGGTAACAATCTCGTTGTTTCCTTTACTGTTTGCTACAGTAAAATTGTTTAGCACTCTTAAGAGACAGTTTAAATCCCTGAAAACAAATATTCATTAATTTACTTTGAAGGTAAAATATTTGAAGCCAAGCTGATAATGTTTCTTTTTAATGTAATTACCAATAAATGTTTCCATTTTAACCACTGGGAACAGTCTCCCACCAGTAAGGTGGATGCCTGAGTAACTGCTGCTAGTCTGAGGCAAAGATTTTCTCTCTTCTGTGCTGGGGATCTTCTCCCCCCACACCAGATTTGTATCTGTCCAAATCAATTATTTCATGTAGTGACAGTGAAGACAAGAGAATGGTTCTGCCACAGTTGGACATTAATTTCCCCCTTAGAAAATTAATGCCTTTTGTTGGCCATGTTTGTAGACAATGTGACCATTTGTAATTGGATAGCACAGCATTATCTCTTTACTAAATTCCAGGAGCCTTATTTAAAGACAACTTTTGTTCAACAGAGTTAATTTGCCAAGCAAGGCATGGCTTGTCCTAGCAAAGTGCTGGCTTGCACACACAGGCTTCTCTACCACATGGTGCATTACTTTTTGAAAATTTCTTAATATGTTTCCTACCTTATTTCAAGTAAGCAAAAATTTTAGAGACACAGACTAGGAAAAATAAAACTTTTTTTAAAAATATTCACTGCAGTTGCAAACAAAAATTTAAATCCCTGAGCAGGTTGTTATATTTTTGTCTGAGGTGCTTTTCAACCTGAATGTCGTGGTTTGACCAGGAAGGAGTGGGAATTCTGGGAAGCTGTGGTCAAACCAATGAAGGTTTTGGGTTTCATACTGACACCTGGTGTAGCCAGTGGGGTTTGGACACACCTCCGAGAATACACAGGGGTTAAAAGCAAGGCACTGCCCTGG